CAAGATCCTCCCACGTGGCTTCCTCGGATGGCAACTCTTCCCAGTCAACTAGTACTTCCCAATGATAGCGCCCTGCTCTCTTTACCTTACGGTACTCAATCGCTCGTTTTGATCGTACTATGACCCTACCATCGGTTGCGGTTGCAGGTAACTCCTCACAATACTTTTGTGCTTCTCCCAAACTCCTCTTGAGTTGTGAGACATGGATAACTGGGTGAATTTGTAAACTTTCTGGTAACTCTAGGCGGTAAGCTACCTGACCAATGCGTTTTAGAATCTGATAAGGCCCGTAATAGCGGACACCCAGTTTAGTTGCGGCCCTTTGTGCTGTGGTGCGCTGTCTGAATGGTCGTAGTTTCAGGTAGACATACTCACCTGGTGCAAAATTTTCCTCACGCCTTTTCCCATCTGCGAAGGCTTTGGTTCGATTAATTGAGCCTTCGAGATTTTTTTTCAGCTCACGTAACATCAAATCTCGTTCCTCTAGTTCTCGACCAACCTCATCGTTGACTGTACTCCCCTCCAAATAATGGATCAGTGTTAGGGGTTTTCGCCCGTATACCAACTCAAATGGCGTCATCTTGGTCGACTCGTGGTAAGTGGTGTTGTACCAATACTCAGCCCAGGGCAAAAAGTTTTCCCACCGCTTTGGGAATTGATGGACGTAGCATCTCAAATACTGCTCAAGGGTTCGGTTGGTTACCTCAGTTTGTCCGTCTGTCTTTGGGTGTTAGGCTGAGCTCATAGATAACTTAGTCCCTTGCAACTTGAAGAATTCAGACCAAAAGTTGCTCATAAAAATCCGGTCTCGATCAGAGACGATGGATCGAGGTGCTCCATGCAGTTTCATCACGTACTCCACAAATAACCTGGCAATTGACTTCGCGGTGTAAGGATGGGTAATGGGTATGAAGTGAGCATACTTTGTGAGACGATCCACTACAACCATAACACCGTCAAATCCATTGGAACTCGGTAACCCCTCTATGAAATCCATAGTAATGTCTTCCCAGATCGCCTCGGGTACTGGTAGTGGTTGCAACAGCCTGCTCGGTTGTCGTGAGTCAGAATTAGTGCACTGGCAATCATCGCATCGTGCTATATAGTCTCGGACGGTACTCTGTTGTCCGGTCCAGAAGAAGGTGTTGGCTATTCTCATCCACGTGCGGTAGATACCTGAGTGGCCTCCAATTTTAGAGTCGTGGAAGTGCTGCATGATCTGCTCTCGTAACTGCCCACTGTCGGGAACGAATACTCGGCCTCGGTGTAGAAGCAGACCATTGTGCAACTCGTAGTCGATAGCAGTTGTCTTACCTGCTTCGATCGATTGGCGCAGCTCCTGGCAATAGGTGTCCTCTACTTGCGCCTTCCTGATTTCTTCCCAAATAGTCCAAGCTGGACCAGTGATAGCATTCAGCTCGGCTACATCTGTTCGTCGGGATAATGCATCAGCTACTGCATTCTGTCGACCTGGTCGATAAATTATCTCGAAGTCAAACCCCATAAGCTTAGATACGAACTTCTGCTGCTCGGGGGTAACAATCCTTTGCTCCAATAGATGCTTAAGCAGTTGTTGGTCAGTAATAATCTGAAAACGTCAGCCCAATAGATAAGGCCTCCAGCACCTTACAGCCTCGACAACTGCTAGCATCTCCTTCACGTACACCGATAGACCCAATCGGGTAGTGCCCAGTGCCTTGCTGAGATAGGCTAAGGGTCGCCCCTCTTGTACTAACACAGCTCCAATCCCAATGTCACTCGCATCGGTGTGTACCTCGAACAAGACATCGAACCTTGGCATGGCGAGCACTGGCGTTGTAGTCATAGCTTCTTTTAGTTTCCCAAACGCCTTTTCGCTAACTTCGGTCCATGTGAACCCGCCTTTCTTAGTCATCTCTGTCAGGGGTTTGGCGATGGTTCTATAATCCTTCACGAACTTTCGGTAGTAGCCCGTGAGTCCTAGAAATCCTCTCAACTGCGTGAGACTTGTTGGCTTAGGCCAATCGACCATAGCCTCAATCTTTCGTGGATCAACCTTCACGCCCTCGTGTGATATGAAGTGCCCCAGATACTCAACCATCTTCTGCCCGAATGAACATTTGGATGGCTTGATATGGAATGAGTTGGCCTCCAAAATTTCTAGCACTACTCTTAAATGCCCAAGGTGCTCGCCCCATGACTTCGAATAGATCAAGATATCATCAAAGAATACCAGAACGAACTTACGTAGATACTCCTTGAAGATAGAATTCATAGCGAACTGGAAAGTGGATGGGGCGTTGCATAATCCGAATGGCATAACCAGATACTCATAGTGCCCCTGGTGCGTACGTAATGCTGTCTTTGGAATGTCGGCCTGATGGAGTCGAATTTGATGGTAACCAGCTCTCAGATCGAGCTTTGAAAAATAGCGTGACCCGGCTAACTCATCGAGCATGTCATCGACGCTCGGGATAGGAAATCGGTCCTTGATGGTTGCAGCGTTCAGAGCTCGGTAGTCAGTACAGAACCTCCACGTGCCGTCTTTCTTTTTTGCTAACAAGACTGGAGAAGAAAACGGACTCTTGCTATGCTGGATTAGTCCTGATTCAAGCATCTCGGCCACTTGCCGCTTGATTTCAGTTTTCTGAAAGTGAGCGTACCTATAAGGATGACCGCGTATGGCGTGTTGCTCGTTGATTAGTGGTATACGATGATCGAACTCCCGGTGTGGGGGTAGTCCCTTAGGTTCGCCCAGTACTCCCTCAAATTCCTGGAGAAGCTCGTGCACATCTCCCTGCTGTTGCTCCTCTTGATCTATGTGCGCCTCAGTCTTCTCCACCACTACTGCAAATATTTGGCCTCCACCCCGCCAAACTTTCTCAATGCTCTTAAGCCCTACCTCCTTGGTACCTTTTTCATTGCCAGTACTCAGAGTGACTTGCTGACCTCCGGAGTTGAACTCCATAATAACTGTCCGATAGTCGGTGGTCACCTTGCCTAACCCTTCAAGCCATTGTACACCTAAGACAACATCCGGCCCAACCAGCGGTAAGGCATAGAGATCAGCCTTCACTGTAACTCCGCTGAACCTGATTGGCACCTTCCGGAAGGATTTAGTGCATTGCAGCCTATCACCATTGGCTACTCGTACCTCAAAAGGTTCAATATTCGTGGTTGGTAAGTTCATCTTTTGGGACAAGTCGGTATTGATGAAGTTGTGTGATGACCCGTTGTCTACTAGCACCACCACCATCCGATCCTTGACCCAGGCCGGCAATCGCATTGTTCGAGGCCCTCTAATCCCGGCCATTGCGTGCATCGAGATTTCTGCTTCTTCGTCAGGCCCCTCAACTTCAATATCCTGATGTGGTTCCTCCTCGTCCTCAGATCCTTCCGCATCAGGATTAGCAACTTCAATCACAAAGGCTTGCTTACACTGATGACCTGGTGTAAACTTCTCCTCACACTTGAAACATAAGCCTTTCTCACGTCGACGTTTAACTTCCTCGGGGGACAGCCGTCTCACTATCGACCCTGCTGGCCGATTGCTGATGTTCGGCGGTGCGCAGACCGTGGCTTGGTTCGGTCCCATGCGTCGCGAGTCCGAGAATCGCACATCCGCCCGTCCCCTTCGCGTAGCGACCAGATGGTCTTCTCGTCGACGGGCCACTTCCATGGCGTTATGCATTGTGCCCGGTCGCTCCAGTCGGACTTCTGCGGCTAGATCGATTCTCAGCCCGCCTACGAAGGCTCCTACTAGCGCATCCTCAGACCAATCCCGCACGCGACAGGCTAGTCGTTCAAACTCCTTGATGTACTCACGCAAACTTCCTGTCTGTCGGATTCGCGCGAGGGCCTCATTATAATTATGGTAATCGGACGTGCCAAATAGAATGCTGCGTACCTCACTCGATCGTGGTCGTCGGTTTCGTTCAGTTTGAAATATTGCGCGATTCAGTTGAGCCACGCCTCGGGATCACTACCTGTGAAGATGGACATCACGAATCTTGACTTGTCGGGCTTCGGCCGTTCACGGTAGGTGGACGTCTGCGACCGCTGATCGAAATCCTCCTCGTGTTCGTAACCCTCGCGTCGCCGGTCCTCGTCCTGTTCGCGCGCGCGCCGTTGCTCGCGTCGATCCTCACGCCGTGGGAATAGTGTGCGATCGGCATCCTGGCGTGGTTCGCGCCTCGGGGGATCTTCGCGATGATGTGGGGGTTGTTGCTGGATCGCGCGCAGGACTTCCTCTAACCGCTGCTCGAGTCGCGTGACGACGGCGTTGGTGTTGTTTTGACTTTCGTCAAGCGATCCAAGCCTTCCTTCCATAACCTCGCTCATACTCCGCATCTGGATGTCAAGGTTATCGATCTTTTCCTTCATCTCCTTGTTGGTCATGGATTTTCTTTCTTCTCTCCGCTCTTTGCTTTGAAGACTCGTGGTTGAGATGATGATGATGATGATGATGATGATGATGATGGACGAAAATATTTATGTATGTATTTTTATATTTTTTTTTTTTTGGAAGAGGGGGACGAAAAAAAAAATGAAAAAAGAAAAAGAAAGGGAATGGGGTAGAAGAAAA